GGTCACTTGAGGAAATAAGCCTCTGTTCAAATTGTGAAAAATGTGGGATTTCAGGGAAGCATTAATAGATTTGTTATTCTTAAGAGTATCGCCAATAATTTCCAAATGAGGTAAAACTGATACAACATTTGAGTACAGTAAAGTATTATGAATCATTCCAATAAGTGGTACAGGAATTGCTTTACAGATTTTGTTATAATCTTTAGCAGTACACGTTATATTGTATTTCGTTGAAAAGGCCAAAACATCGAGCAGTTTACCATTGCAATCTAGTAAATCTCTAACAAACAAAATACCCCTCTCATGCCAATCACTCCTAAACAAGGATTTTCTGTTTATGATAATCACTCTATTGTTCCATAACGTAGATCCATGAGGAGAAAAATTGTGGGTAAATATCATCTTCCAATAATCTGCTTATGAAAATTTGACAATTTGGTCGGAATCTTATTAACCTCAAAATCACATTTTAAAAGAAAATCAAACCCTCCTAGACGTTTAAATATGGCCTTTGGAATATGGAACCACATGGATTCTGGCTGGGACAAAAAGGCTTTCAACCATTTTATTTTAATTGTTCCAATCATCGATTCAAAGTCTAAAGCTTTAATTCCGCCTTTATCATATTCTTTAACAAGCTGTGACTTTTTTAATGTAGTGAGTTTTATTTCTCCACAAGAATTGGAAAATAATTGAGTTGGCTTTTTTTATATTAGCCGAAGAGACAAAACATGAGTGGCATGGATAAATAAGTTTAGATATACCTTCTGCTTTAGTAAGAAGAACTCTGCCAAAAAGAGTAAGATCTCTAGTTAACCAACGACTGAGAGATTTCTTCATATCTGTGATACGGTTACAAATATTAAGATCTTCTCTCCTGATATCATTTTTAGATAATGTTATTCCCAAATATTTCACCTCAGGTACCACTCTAATAGAGTCAATAGTGGAATCATCACATGAATGGATAGGGAGTCATTCACATTTTGAAAGATTAAGAGATAACCCTGATGCTTTTGAACAAATTGAAATTGTGTTAAGAGTTTCCTTTACCATGGATTTATTCTTTAGGAAAATGGATGTGTCATCTGCAAATTGACTAATTTTGAACTCTTTGTCAAAGAGGGTAATGCCTAATATTTTGTGATTCTTTATAATAAGCGTTGTTAATACTTGGGTGGTCAGAATAAATAATTTGGGGGAAATAGGGCAACCCTGTCGAATACCACGTAAAACCTTAAACCTAGGGCTCATTCCAGGGTTCAAAGATACAGAACTATAAATGTCCGAGTAGAGCATCCTAATTATGTTGCAGAAATGTTCACCAAAACCCAGAAATGTCAGAGTTTCCATTAAAAAGGAATGTTCAACAGTATCAAAAGCCTTGTAAAAATCCAGAAATAGTACGAGACCTTCAGTATCAATAAACTCCTGGTAATCAAGCATATCCAATATCAGTCTGGTATGGTTATGAATACTTCTGCCCTTTATAAAGGCTGATTGACATTCATCTATTAGTTGATTCAGACCCGAGTTTAACCTGTTAGCATAAACATGTGCTAAAAGTTTGTAATCATTACATAACAGGGTAATAGGTCTCCAATTATCCAACAAAAGATTATTTTTATTTGGTTTTGGAATTAAGGTAATAAGGCCATGTTTCATGGTTGGCGAAAGGTTTCCTGCTGAAATGCAATCTGTGAACGCCTTATAAAGCATTTCTCGCACATCTGACCAAAAACATTTATAAAACTCTCTGGTTAAACCATCCAGCCCTGGTGATTTGCCACCAGACATTTGCAGTAATGCACTATCTAATTCTTCAATTTTTAGTCCATCGTCCATATACTGTTTAAAAGAATAATCTATTGTCTTTTTGAATTCTGTAATTTTACTAAAAAAGTTATCACAATTTTCTTTAGAAAACTTTGAGTTATATAAATGGCTATAAAAAAGTCTAATTTCTTCATTTATCTGGTCTTGATTTTCAATAGTGACATCATTAATAATCAGTTTTTGGATTTTCTTTTTCACTTGTCTTTGCTTTTCAAGATTGAAGAAATAAGAAGTGTTTTTCTCTCCTTGCTCAATCCATCGGGCTCTCCAACGAATAAAAGCTCCCTTTGCTTTTTCCAAATACATGTTGTCTAATTGAGTTTGTAAATTGTTCAGTTGAATTTGCTCATCCAATGATAACTCAGCTTTAAGGCATACATTATTAATTGCACTTGTCATCTCTTGTTGTTTTTGTTTCTTTAATCTAGAAGAGTATTTACAGGATTTTATCGCAATCTGTCTCACACTAAATTTAAACCATTCCCATTTACTGAGAGATGACATATCCAAAGCCAGAGTTTCTTTTATCAGTTGTTTGATCTCTCTACAAAAATCTGCATTCTCCAAAAGACTATTATTGAATTTCCATATAGGTTTAAGATTGGGACTGAAGTTGCTTAGTAAAAAGGACAAAGAGAGGACAGTGATCCGTCAGAGGTGATGCTGAAATGTCACACTTTGAGACATTATTAGTTAAACTAGTAGAGATTAACCAATAATCGAGCCTAGAGCACTTCCGCGTAGTCTGCTCTCGTGTATCCTCCCTTTCGTCTCCTCCCGCACCCCTCCTCCCTCACCCCTCCTCGACTCCTCCGTGTGCATTTCAGCTATTGGGACGTCCTTCAACATGGCGTGTCTTGATCGATTTCCGGGTCAAGTCCCGGAGGAGGGGAAGAGAGCAGTCGAGGAGGGGTATTGGGATGAAGCTAGTAGGCTTGTTTGAGACGAGCTGCGGCTCGCCTCGAAAGTAGACGAGAATAGCCGATCGCAGCCGGGGGAGGTCTAAAAAAGCTCGCCTGAAGTCGGACAGCTCGGAGTCGGCTTCTTCTTCTTCTTCTTCTTCTTCTTCTCTCGGTTTTTTGGCGGATTTCAAACAACTTTAAGGTGCATACTGCCACCTCCGGAGTCGGCTTGACTCGGTTTGCATTTATAAATGCACACGGCATCTATTGCACGTCTGTCCGTCCTGGGAGAGGGATCCCTCCTCTGTTGCTCTCCCTGAGGTTTCTCCCATTTCCCCTTTAAACTGTGGGTTTTCTCTGGAAGTGTTTCCTTGTATGATGTGAAACGTAAGGACAGAGGGTCTAAGGACAGAGGGGTCTAAGGACAGAGGGGTCTAAGGACAGAGGGTGTCATATTGTCACTGATATTCTGTACAAACTGTGAAGTCCACTGAGACAAATGTAACATTTGTGATATTGGGCTATATACATAAACATTGATTGATTGATTGATAAAGAATGGACAAATGTGTTTAATCGTTAATGTCAGATATGTACTAAGTAAATACATTTGTTCCTGCTCAAGATTAGATTCAACTTTATTGTTATTGCACAGATTACAGGAGACAACGAAATGCAGTTTAGCTTCTAACCAGGAGAGCAACAAGCAGTACAGAGAAAAGTAATGTACACAATCTACAGAATAAAATATAGAATGAATTGAATGATGAATAAACAGTGAGGGGTATGAATACACTATATACACAGTAGCCTAGCCTAGTATGAACAGTGTGTTGTATGAATATGCTAAGATATATAAAGTATGACAACGGTAAGCAGTGCAAGTATAGTATACAAATATATAGATATTAATTTAATGATGATAAACATTGTGGAACAATGATGAAAAATGTGAATGGAAGTGGCGACGTAAAACTGACACAAAACAACAACACACTTTTGCCGAGCCAATGGAGAGCTTCATCTCCAGCACGGGGTAAAACCCACCAATGAGCGCTCAGCTCCAGATACCAGCGAACCAATGGAGAGCTTCATCACCAGCACGGGGTAAAACCCACCAATGAGCGCTCAGCTCCAGATACCAGCAAGTCGTTTCCCATCAAGCATTTCGCTTCCGCAGCCCGTGGAGAGAAACTGCGCCGCCTCGCCGCGCCTCGCCGCGCCTCGCTCTCAAGTCTGCGGGCGTCTTTGTCCCGCGAGATTTCAACGTCTCATGTAGGCGAGCCTCCAGAGCAAGTCGGACAAAATGACTAACCATCATGCAACGCACTAGCAAGACGTTGATCTCAATTGCGCAGGTCTGCGCAGGTCTCGCTTGTCTCAAACAAGCCTACTGTCTATGGCTATAATCGAGGAACCACCAGACCATCCTTCGATGAAATCCTCAGAGACTCTCCCCGCCCCCTTACTGTGTATCGCTCACTGATTGGACGATGCAGCGCATGCACTGATCTGATGCTTCTTGACATGAGAGCAGTTTCCCAGCGGAGTGAAGAAAACACATGAAACTCACGGGACTCACTCCTCAGTTCATACTGGGTTCTGTTTCAATGAATGCATCATTCAGTTACAAATATGTGATATATCTGAACAACAAAGTGGACAAAGATCATTTCATTCATTTATTGGAAACATTTTCATGATCGCTTTTTTCGTTTTACATTTTCATTTATTGTCATTTCCATTCAGTCAGTCATTAAGTGCTATTTAACATGTTAATGTGCTACATATCCACACAAACAAACACAGTGTGCAATCCAATGAATGTTAATCTAACTGGGTTTTGATAGATAACATATCTCTCTTTCTTCTCTCAATTATTTTATTTCTATTGTGCACTCTAATCAATATTAATCTAACTATTGTTCGTTTATACATTTTAAGAATGGCGTTTATCTTTTTTGAGTGAGTTATTATTTTTATTTGATTTATTTGGGTCTACAACAGATGATACAAATGTTTGTGTCAGTAAATGTGTACTAACAGAGGCGGGGGTGTTTGTGAAAACAACGGGGACAGAGCTGCTGTCAGACGATCAGCTGTGCGGCGTCATCACAAACGGACGTCGCTTCACGTGACGCTCCGGAGGAAAGGACGTCCCATTGCCCTTAAAACTCATTTCCCTGCTTCTCGTGGTTTCCTTGCGTCTCTCCATGCTTCCTGGTGGGAGGGACTAGTCGCAGGGAAACCACGCAAGAGAGGGACGCAAGGAATCCATTTAACCGAAGTGAAACGCAGCCTAAATATATCTATGGCTGCAGCTAGACCATATTGGCCGTAAACCCTGCTGCTGCTGCCGTAAACACTGCCGTACATTAGGAAGCAGCAATGGCCGCGGAGTGAGTCGGTCCTCTTCGGTTTTTATTTCTTCTTAAAGTTAAAATAAAGTTAAAATAAGTAAAAGATCAAATGCTGTCCTCTGTGGAGAAGCTGCTGGAGGACTTCCGGCTCTCAGCCGGCTCTGAGATCTGCCGGAAACTCAAAGAAAGAGAAGAAGAAGAAGACTCGAAAACTGAGGTCATTATTTTAATTATATTTACTTTAATTTATAAAAAATAAAACTCACAGTCTGAGGAGTTTTTACTTTCTGTTCTTTATTCATAATGTTTTTCTGAATATTATTTTATTATCTAAATATTTGTAATACAAAGATTCGTCCTGGTGTGTGTGTGTGTGTGTGTGTGTGTGTGTGTGTGTGTGTGTGTGTGTGTGTGTGTGTGTGTGTGTGTGTGTGTGTGTGTGTGTGTGTGTGTGTGTGTGTGTGTGTGTGTGTGTGTGTGTGTGTGTGTGTGTGTGTGTGTGTGTGTGTGTGTGTGTGTGTGTGTGTGTGTGTGTGTGTGTGTGTGTGTCAGTTGCTGGCAGTGATTGACAGGTTGTGTGTTGTCCTGCTGGAGGATCTGAAGGCGCTGCTGAAACTCAGTGAGGATCTTATTATATTAAACATTACGGACGCTCCAGGTGTCTCAAAGTGTAAAGTATAAAGTGTGTGTTATAATGCGTCATCATGTAAACTAACACAAACTAATATATGATAATAATATAGAACTAAAGTTGGTTCAAATAATTCATTAATATTCTGTTGAAGCTTTTTAATTGAGTGTTAATAAATTCCACTTCCTGTTTCTCTCTGCAGCCGAGACGCAGCAGGCCCTGCCCCTTTCTGATCAGCTGGAGGTGAGCAGCCAATCAGATGCTGCGCCTGGTCAGAGCAGCCAATCAGACGCTGCAACATGTGGAAACAACCTATCAGAGCAGTCTGCAGCGGATCAGAGCCACCAATCAGATGCTGCCTCGGGTGAAAGCAGCCAATCAGACACTGCGCTTTGTCAGAGCAGCCAATCAGACACTGCGCTTTGTCAGAGCAGCCAATCAGACACTTCACCATCTGGAAACAACCTATCAGAGCAGTCTACAGCGGGTCAGAGAAGCCAATCAGACGCTGTGCTTTGTCAGAGCAGCCAATCGGACACTGCGATTTGTCCGAGCATCCAATTAGACGCTGCGCTTTGTCAGAGCATCCAATCAGATACTGTGCTTTGTCCGAGCAGCCAATCAGACGCTACAACATGTGGAAACAACCAATCAGAGCAGTCTGCAGAGGGTCAGAGCAGCCAATCAGACACTGTCCCCCATCTGCAGGAGAGAAGCTTCCCCTGCTCCGCCTGCAGGAAACCCTTCACAACGCGCCGCAGCCTGAATGTTCACGAGCTCTCCGTGCACCGAGGCCTGCGCCCGTTCACCTGCAGCGTCTGTGGGAGGAGCTTCAGTCAGAACAGCGGTCTGAAGACTCACCTGCGCAGCCACAGCGGGGAGAAACCGTACGCCTGCAGTCAGTGTGAGAAGACGTTCTCCAGCACCAGCTCGCTGACCTCTCACCTGCGCAGCCACAGCGGAGAGAAACCCTTCAGCTGCGACACATGTGGGAGGAGCTTCAGCGTGTCGGCCAACCTGCGCCGCCACCGATTGGTCCATTCAGGCCGACGCTCCTTCAGCTGCCAGGTATGCAGCCGCAGCTTCTCGCAGGCGGCTCACCTGCAGACGCATCACGCAGCCGTGCACAGCGGGGGGTCTGCCTTCCTCTGTGAGCTCTGTGGGAGGGGCTTCAGGCTAAGCAGCCGGCTGCAGGAGCACGAGCGCAGACACAGAGGAGAGAAACCCTTCGACTGCGCAGACTGTGGGAAGAGCTTCTCCTCGACTGCAGCGCTGAAACGCCACCAGAGGACTCACGGCAGGGGGGGGGAGCACAGCTGTGAGGACTGTGGGAAGAGCTTTAGTAACAGCAGCACCCTGAAGACTCACCTGCAGACTCACCTGCAGACTCACCCGCAGCCGCTGGTCTCTAAGCCCTTCAGCTGCGATGTGTGTCTGCGCAGCTACAGCTCTCTCAGCTACCTGCGCTCTCACCGCCGCAGCCACTCAGAGAGGAAACCCTTCAGCTGCTCCACCTGTCAGAACAGCTTCTCCACCAGAGGCAGTCTGCAGCTGCACCTGCGCAGCCACAGCGGAGAGAAGCCCTTCGTCTGCGAGGTGTGTGGGCGGAGCTTCAGCGTATCGCAGAACCTCGTCAGACACAAGCTGACGCACAGCGGAGAGAAGCCTTTCAGCTGTGAGGTCTGTGGGAGGAGCTTCAGCCAGAAGAGCAACCTGCAGACTCACCAGCTGACACACAGGGGGGAGAAGCTGCAGCCCACAGCCAATCACATCGCTGCTGACCTCATCACATGACCTCACCTGGCCTCATCACCTGACCTCAACACCTGACCTCCTCACCTGACCTCCTCACCCGACCTCATCACCCGACCTCCTCACCTGACCTCATCACCTGACCTCATCACCTGCCCTCCTCACCTGACCTCATCACCTGACCTCATCACCTGACTTCCTCACCCGACCTCCTCACCCGACCTCCTCACCCGACCTCATCACCCGACCTCATCACCCGACCTCATCACCCGACCTCATCACCCGCCCTCATCACCTGCCCTCATCACCTGCCCTCATCACCTGACCTCATCACCTGACCTCCTCACCTGACCTCATCACCTGACCTCCTCACCTGACCTCATCACCTGACCTCCTCACCTGACCTCATCACCTGACCTCCTCACCTGACCTCATCACCTGACCTCATCACCTGCCCTCATCACCTGCCCTCATCACCTGACCTCATCACCTGACCTCATCACCTGCCCTCATCACCTGCCCTCATCACCTGACCTCATCACCTGACCTCATCACCTCCTCACCTGACCTCCTCACCTGACCTCCTCACCTGACCTCCTCACCTGACCTCATCACCTGACCTCCTCACCTGACCTCATCACCTGACCTCATCACCTGACCTCATCACCTCCTCACCTGACCTCCTCACCTGACCTCATCACCTGACCTCCTCACCTGACCTCATCACCTGACCTCCTCACCTGACCTCATCACCTGACCTCATCACCTGACCTCATCACCTGACCTCATCACCTGACCTCCTGTAACTGTGTATAAAAACATGAATAAACGTCTGTCAGTTTCTCTTTCCTCACAGACACTTTAATGATGTAATGTTTTATTGTTTTATTGTTTTAATCATCTCTGGGTTTTAATTCATTCGTCTTTTCGTCATGTTTCTATATTTTGTAATCAGATTTATTTTCAATGCTTTTTTTCTCTAATATTTAATTATTTATTATGTTTTTCTCATTTTATTTCAATTATTATTATTTTTCACATTTATATTAAAAATATATAAATACATTATAATGAATACTAAACACTTTTACCTTTCTTTTTATTCCTTCGTTTTAAATATAAAGTGATTAATAGTGATTATTGATTAGTGATTAGTGATTAAACTCATTTCAAGAGATATATTATTTAGATCTGCTTCTGTTTTTCAAAATAAAAGACCTGACGTAAAACGCGTCACTTTCTCTGGAGGTTAAAACAAACCAACAAACAGAATGACGTCATACAACATATTACCAACAAACAGAATGACGTCATACAACATATTACCAACAAACAGAATGACGTCATACAATATATGGAAGTATAATGTAGAGATCATAGACTGTATATAGAGATGTACAAAAGAGAACATGTTGCATCATATTTATTAATTTAAAACACATTGTAAAGAAATTAAGATCTATTTATCTAATAAAGATGTTTTCACGTCATTCTTTCTGTTTGTTATTGTTTTAACCTCCAAGACAAAGTGACGCGTTTTACGTCAGGTCTTTTATTTTGAAGTCCCGCAGACCGGAAGCTGTCAGTCCTCGGATGATTTTCCGGTTCTCTCTCAGTTCCGAGGATAAACATCATGAACGAGACGGAGGGGCTGCGGTTCCGAAGGGTCCACCGCCCGCAGGTCATCACCGACGAGCTGCCGGAGCACCGCCGCAAGGGCACCGGGTGAGAAGAGCCGGGGGGACCGGGCCGAGTCCGGAGGGTTCGAGTCCCGCAGCGCAATACTGAAATACTGAGGGAAATAACTAGAGAAGACTACAAGCTAAATAAATAACAGAGAGAACAACAACACAACACAGCTAGCATCACCTACAGAGAGAACCACAACACAGCTAGCAGAACCTACAGGGAGAACCACAACACAGCTAGCAGAACCTACAGGGAGAACCACAACACAGCTAGCATCACCTACAGAGAGAACCACAACACAGCTAGCAGAACCTACAGGGAGAACCACAACACAGCTAGCAGAACCTACAGGGAGAACCACAACACAGCTAGCATCACCTACAGAACCCACAACACAGCTAGCATCACCTACAGAACCCACAACACAGCTAGCAGAACCTACAGAACCCACAACACAGCTAGCAGAACCTACAGAGAGAACCACAACACAGCTAGCATCACCTACAGAGAGAACCACAACACAGCTAGCATCACCTACAGAGAGAACCACAACACAGCTAGCAAAACCTACAGGGAGAACCACAACACAGCTAGCAGAACCTACAGAGAGAACCACACCACAGCTAGCAGAACCTACAGGGAGAACCACAACACAGCTAGCAGAACCTACAGAGCGAACCACAACATAGCTAGCAGAACCTACAGGGAGAACCACAACACAGCTAGCAGAACCTACAGGGAGAACCACAACACAGCTAGCAGAATCTACAGAGAGAACCCACAACACAGCTAGCATCACCTACAGAGAGAACCACAACACAGCTAGCATCACCTACAGAGAGAACCACAACACAGCTAGCAGAACCTACAGAGAGAACCACAACACAGCTAGCAGAACCTACAGAGAGAACCACAACACAGCTAGCAGAACCTACAGAGAGAACTACAACACAGCTAGCAGAACCTACAGAACCCACAACACAGCTAGCATCACCTACAGAGAGAACCACAACACAGCTAGCAGAACCTACAGAGAGAACCACAACACAGCTAGCAGAACCTACAGAACCCACAACACAGCTAGCATCACCTACAGAGAGAACCACAACACAGCTAGCAGAACCTACAGAGAGAACCACAACACAGCTAGCAGAACCTACAGAGAGAACCACACCACAGCTAGCAGAACCTACAGAGAGAACCACACCACAGCTAGCAGAACCTACAGAGAGAACCACACCACAGCTAGCAGAACCTACAGAGAGAACCACACCACAGCTAGCAGAACCTACAGAGAGAACCACAACACAGCTAGCAGAACCTACAGAACCCACAACACAGCTAGCAGAACCTACAGAGAGAACCACAACACAGCTAGCAGAACCTACAGAGAGAACCACAACACAGCTAGCAGAACCTACAGAACCCACAACACAGCTAGCATCACCTACAGAGAGAACCACAACACAGCTAGCATTGCCTACAGAGAGAACCACAACACAGCTAGCAGAACCTACAGAGAGAACCACACCACAGCTAGCAGAACCTACAGGGAGAACCACAACACAGCTAGCAGAACCTACAGCGAGAACCACAACATAGCTAGCAGAACCTACAGGGAGAACCACAACACAGCTAGCAGAACCTACAGGGAGAACCACAACACAGCTAGCAGAACCTACAGAACCCACAACACAGCTAGCATCACCTACAGAGAGAACCACAACACAGCTAGCAGAACCTACAGAGAGAACCACAACATAGCTAGCAGAACCTACAGGGAGAACCACAACACAGCTAGCAGAACCTACAGGGAGAACCACAACACAGCTAGCAGAACCTACAGAGAGAACCCACAACACAGCTAGCATCACCTACAGAGAGAACCACAACACAGCTAGCAGAACCTACAGAGAGAACCACAACACAGCTAGCAGAACCTACAGAGAGAACCACACCACAGCTAGCAGAACCTACAGAGAGAACCACACCACAGCTAGCAGAACCTACAGAGAGAACCACACCACAGCTAGCAGAACCTACAGAACCCACAACACAGCTAGCATCACCTACAGAGAGAACCACAACACAGCTAGCAGAACCTACAGAGAGAATCACAACATAGCTAGCAGAACCTACAGGGAGAACCACAACACAGCTAGCAGAACCTACAGAGAGAACCACACCACAGCTAGCAGAACCTACAGAACCCACAACACAGCTAGCATCACCTACAGAGAGAACCACAACACAGCTAGCAGAACCTACAGAGAGAACCACAACATAGCTAGCAGAACCTACAGGGAGAACCACAACACAGCTAGCAGAACCTACAGGGAGAACCACAACACAGCTAGCAGAACCTACAGAGAGAACCCACAACACAGCTAGCATCACCTACAGAGAGAACCACAACACAGCTAGCAGAACCTACAGGGAGAACCACAACACAGCTAGCAGAACCTACAGGGAGAACCACAACACAGCTAGCAGAACCTACAGAGAGAACCACAACACAGCTAGCAGAACCTACAGAGAGAACCACAACACAGCTAGCAGAACCTACAGAGAGAACCACACCACAGCTAGCAGAACCTACAGAGAGAACCACACCACAGCTAGCAGAACCTACAGAGAGAACCACACCACAGCTAGCAGAACCTACAGAGAGAACCACACCACAGCTAGCAGAACCTACAGAGAGAACCACAACACAGCTAGCATCACCTACAGAACCCACAACACAGCTAGCAGAACCTACAGAGAGAACCACAACACAGCTAGCAGAACCTACAGAAACCCCAAACACATTTACATTTGAAAATAAAAATAACGTAACAATTGTTTTAGATGATATATATTTGTGTAAAATCAGCTCATGGCTATTTCAGGTATTCTTTACGATATATATTTATTAAATATATTGTATTAAGATATTTCTTTATAATAAAGGTATTTTAATAGATGTATGGTTCCTCCATGTGTTCTATAACATGTTGTGTTCTCTATCAGAACGTACAGTGGGAAGGTGTTCCAGGTGACGCTGCTGTCTCTGGGCGGATTACTGCTGCTGCCTCTGCTCTTCATCCTCCTCATCCTCGAGTCCCCCATCCACCCCGAGGTGTTCAGGTGAGACACACACACACACACACACACACACACACACACACACACACACACACACACAGACACTCACAGAGAGACTCACAGAGACACACACACACACAGAGACACACACTCACAGAGAGATACACTCACACACACACACACACACACACAGACACACTCACAGAGAGATACACTCACACACACACACACACACACACACACACACACTCACAGACACACTCACAGAGAGAGATACACACACACACACACACACACACAGACACTCACAGACAGACTCACAGAGACACACACTCACACAGAGACACACACTCACAGAGAGATACACTCACACACACACACACACACACACACACACACACACACACACACACACACACACACACACTCACAGACACACTCACAGAGAGACTCACACACAGAGACACACACTCACAGAGAGAGATACACACACACACACACTCACACACACACACACTCACACACACACTCACACACATTATAGTAGTTGAATGATGAAATCTATTGCGCAGTTCTTTGTGTGTTTGACCTGCTGCAGATATCTGAATATCTGCAGACTCTGCAGCTTCTCTGGTTAATAAGTGATGAGGGAAAGCTTCATCAAACATCAGAGGAACAATCAGGACACACACACTGAGAGGATAGGAAACACACTGAGAGGATAGGACACACACTGAGAGGATAGGACACACACTGAGAGGATAGGACACACACTGAGAGGATAGGACACACACTGAGAGGATAGGACACACACACTGAGAGGATAGGACACACACTGAGAGGATAGGACACACACACTGAGAGGATAGGACACACACTGAGAGGATAGGACACACACTGAGAGGATAGGACACACACTGAGAGGATAGGACGCACACTGAGAGGATAGGACACACACACTGAGAGGATAGGACACACACTGAGAGGATAGGAAACACACTGAGAGGATAGGACACACACTGAGAGGATAGGACACACACTGAGAGGATAGGAACACACACTGAGAGGATAGGACACACACACTGAGAGGATAGGACACACAACTGAGAGGATAGGACACACACTGAGAGGATAGGACAACACACTGAGAGGATAGACACACACACTGAGAGGATAGGACACACACTGAGAGGATAGGAACACACACTGAGAGGATAGGACACACACTGAGAGGATAGGACACACACACTGAGAGGATAGGACACACACTGAGAGGATAGGACACACACACTGAGAGGATAGGACACACATCTGAGAGATAGGAAACACACTGAGACGGATAGGACCACACACTGAGAGGATAGGACACACCTGAGAGGATAGGACACACACTGAGAAGGGAATAGGACAGACACAACTGAGAGATAGGACACACACTGAGAGGATAGGACACACACTGAGAGGATAGGAAACACACTGAGAGGATAGGACACACACTGAGAGGATAGGACACACACTGAGAGGAAACACACTGAGAGGAAACACACTGAGAGGAAACACACTGAGAGGACAGGACACCACTGAGAGGATTTAGGACCACACACTGAGAGAGATAGGAACACACATGAGAGGATAGGAACACACTGAGAGGATAGGACACACACTGAGAGGATAGGAAACACTGAGAGTATAGGCACACATGAGAGGATAGGACACACACTGAGAGGATAGGACAACACTGAGAGGATAGGACACACACTGAGAGGATAGGACACACTGAGAGGATAGGACACACACTGAGAGGATAGGACACACTGAGAGGATAGGACACACTGAGAGGATAGGACACACACTGAGAGGATA